GGCCCCGCGATGTGTGGGCAGGAAACGATTCTGCCGCCGACGGCCGCTTACCAAATCGTTTTGGCGCGAAAGGCGCCGCGAATAGCATTCCCTCCTCTCGCGTCTCTTGGAGCTGCTGCGGGACTTCCCTCCCCCCAGCCTGCACGCGTTAGCCTAAGAGGGGTGAAAAGAACTCCCAACTCCCCTCAAATTGTTAGATGTCGCTGTGCTGTCGTTTGGCATTGGCTCTTCTTGGGGTGGGTACAGTTCATAAAGCCAAACAACGGTAAACCAAAGGTAAACCGCAACCGCAGACCGCCCTTCGCGCTTCCCTTCGACCGCGTCGCGGTGGAATAACGCCTGGAAGTAGGCGACCCGCGCGACTTGTTGACCCGCTCCCCGTGAGATTGGGGGGTCTTTGATCCCTTCAGCCGGTAAGGCCGATCTGACCATCGCCAGCTTCTTCCTCCTCTCGACGCTCTCACGACGAGTGAGGTGCGACAGTGGGTGCGAGAGAGAGAGGGGCGCTAAGGTAGAGGGGGCGGCGGGCACCCACCCGGCCCGGCATTCCCCCTGCCTGCACTGGATCAATGGGCGGGGGCGGCGGGCCGTCGGATGCTGGGGGCGGCGCCCCCGGCGAGCGGCGTGGCGGGGCGTGGCGGAGGCACCATGGACCAGGGGGGCGGGGGTTCTACTGTGCGCCGGTCCCCTTCATGACTGCTGCCGACCTCATCGATATTTCACGTCGGTCATGATGAGAGCGCCTCTATACCCTTCCAGGAACAACCGGGGTAAAGGCCGCGGTAGGTGTGACACGCGGCAGTTGCTCCCGGAGCAACAAACACAGTCACTCCACACGAATATTCACAAAAAGACAACTTTTTTGACAGCTGAAATAATAACCTATACAGCAAAGAGGAACCCGGGATCGAATCTAGTCTGAGCGAAGGGTAGCAAGGTTTTCCGATTAGGGCTGTAGTCTAGCAACGCAGCCGCTACCAGGCGCCACCGACACACCTTAATGAACGGCGGTTCATGCATAGAATTCTAAGGTGGAAAACGTTTCCCGACTTTACCTCTATGTTGCCCATGGTCTGAAACGCCGTGAAGACGAACATAAATCCAAATCCCAGGAGGATCACATTCAGGTCGGCGCGGTTCATGGTGAGGCTGAGTGGTGGCCGCACCGGCTGGCGCTGCGCGTCAAGTCGAACTGCGATTAAAGTCGGCGGCCAACTGACAGGACAAGTCCAACCTCCATGTAGCCTCGTCTCTACATCGCGCCTCCCGTCATTTTGTTTTTGCTCGTGCCTTCAGACCGCCGCCTTTTAAACTTCGATGGTGCGCGACAGTTGTTTTGGTAAACAAGCGTTTTTCTTCTTCTCCCTGCGTTCCCCGGCACCTTCTTTCAATGTTGAATAAAGCTGCTTTATTTGATGGTTAACTACTTTTCACAGCAAACAGATCGCGTTTAGAGTGCGTTTTCTAGGTTTTGACGAAGAAACGCGATCATGATGCTCCTTCTGCCATGCATCGTCTGCTTCACGTCGTCGTCATTCTGACCAATGTGACCACACAGTCTGCTGTAAACAAAAGCAGAACGGAAAATGATGAATAATCTGGGAGCCTAGATCTCTCATTGGTATCAAGAACGAGATCTTTAATGTTTTTAAATTGTCATTGAATTGTCAATAACTAGATGAAAGTGCGTGTTTCAATCTTTAGAATGATTCCGTATCGACAGGTAAGTCGTTATAAGTTTTACCTTTAATTCTTCTTGAGAATGTAGTGGCTATTATCTTACCTCAGAGTAGACATTGCCTACCTGCCAAGCCCCATTAAGCCTAACAAGTCCGTCATTCAGTACTCATTCTTGTGTATACCTCAAAAATAGGTTTTATCAAGTCATTTGTTAAACGCGAACTGCACCCTCATTCGAAATCTGTACTGAAGTTCCCATCTAATCAACTTTGATTCAATGACAAAGTAGGTGTGTTAACACCTCTTTCACCTTTGCCATTTAGTTTGCAGGGTCAAGCTTACTTATTATTTTAGCTTCAAACGTCATTTCCCCTGTATTAATTAGAAAATAAGTAACTTCAATTATTTCAGATATGCAGAAGTACAACCTTTTGGAGTCTCTTATTGTGGTTTTTGATTTCTAGTTACAAGGACACTGTCAGTGGTTGGTTTGTTTGACAGTGGACCATTGTGAAAGAAACACATGACTAATAACAACAACAGCATTGCTTGAGGCACGACACTTAAACTTATTTTCCTGTTTCTTATTATTCTGTTCTTTTGTAGGTTTCAACGGTGAACGTTAAACAGACTCAATTTTTGTAGTTTGTATATCTGACATGGTGTGTATATGAAAAATTTGGAAGAATTGCAAACCTACCTAATGTAAGCCAAATGTTACCAGCACCATGAAGAAACAATTCTTTCGTGTGAAGCAGCTGGCTGACCAGACCTTTTCAAGGTAATGGCCTTGTCTGTGTGTACTCAGTCCCAGACTGTTTCCCTCATACAAGTCAGTGTGTAGTTCTTTCCAATTGTGTTTTTCTAACATAATGCATGCTATTTCAGAGCTGGCAAAACAGAAGTCTTGTCCGATGATCTTCAAGCTGCTGATCGACGGGTTGAAATTATACGCAATGCCTGTCAGAATACAAGCAAAAAGTTGGCTAGTAGTCTGCTAGCACAAGGACAGGATGCAAATGCAATCAAGGAGAAAAGACTGGTGAGCATTACACATGCTTTCTAATTTTATAATGTTTGACGTTTCTTTAGATACTTTTTATCTACAAATACCAATTCAATTTACAGAAAAGAAGTGCTGAGTATCTTCTTGGTATGTCAATGCTCGAATGTGGTGATCGAAATGAAGATGATGGTCTTCTAGTGTAAGTGCTTCTCAGTTTTAGTTTTCTTCGGCAAATGTTATCATCTGAAATCTGTAATACTTAAACATGCTGTTTTCTGTTTTTAGGAATGTTGTTGTAGAGAGTGGAAAACTGCAAATAGCTCTTGCTAATGAAGTTGTTGATCATGAAGCGCGTGTGGAAGAAAAAGTGGTCACATCATTGCATGCAGTTTCTGAAGGAGAAGTTCCAAACATTCAGAAATTGAAGAGAAATTTAGCTAAATTAATTTTAGATATGGATTCTGCTCGTACAAGGTTATTTCCACTTCCTTTTTTATAATTGTTGTTTAGTAGGCACCTATGTATGCAATGTTGCAAGGTAACAGTGCCTTGAACTACATTTTCAGATATCAAACCGCTGTTAAACATAGCACAAACCAAGCTGGCACATCAAAAGTGGATTCAATAAAAGAAGAACTGGAAGATGCTGAACTTAAAGTAGAACAATGCAGAGACCAACTTGCATCTGAGATGTTTCAATTAATAGCTAAGGAAGCAGATTTAGCCAAAACCATTTTAGAATATGCAAGACTACAGAAATCATATCACGAAAAAGCTCTATCTGTCCTTGATAGTTTTTTACCCGATCTAGAAGCTGTTGTGTGTAAGTCTTCCTTGCTGTAAACCATGCTGTATGCTTTGCAAGTGCTAAGAACTTTCTCAAAATGCTTCAAAATATGTATTTCAGATGATAGTGACATCAGGCCAGTCTTTGGATCCCCTTTGGAAGAGCACCTCCGAGTTACAGCTAGAAAAATAGCTTTTCCTATTGAGCTGTGTGTGTGCTCTTTATTGGAAATTGGAATGGAAGAAGAGGGCCTTTTTAGAGTGGCTGGAGGTAGATAATCAATATGCCTTATAATTAATATCCCTCATTGTTGTTTTCTCACATAGTTTTGACTTATGATTACTCTGTTCTTTAGGTTCTTCAAAAGTACGGCGTATGAAACTGAGTCTCGATGCAGGCTGCTTGTCATTCCCTACTGCTCTTGAATACCGAGATCCACATGTAATTGGGGGAGTACTCAAATCTTACCTTAGAGAACTTCCTGAACCCTTAATGACTTTCTCTCTGTATGATGAGTGGATGGCAGCAGCTAGGGTATCTTCGTCAAATGATACACGCCTTCAAGCCTTGTGGTCAGTTGTGCAGAAACTACCTGAGGCTAACAGAGACAACCTGCGATATTTAGTGAAGTTCCTTGCCGCCCTCTGTCGGAATCAAGACGTAAACAAAATGAGCCCACAAAATGTGGCTATAGTCATTGCTCCCAATTTGATTTGGAGCCCAACTAACAGTCAGGATGCGAACAACATAGGCATGAATATGAGCACAGCTAACTTCTGTAGTGTGATCGTTGACTCTTTAGTCACATTTGCTGACTGGTTTTTCCCAGGAGAGGTTGATTTCTATGTAACATTATCTAGAGAAGCTGCTGCAGAACTAGTGAATGGTGTGCCTAATCCACCACAACCAGGACACACTCGCAACAGTAGTGCTGATGCTCAGCTTGTTGATACTTCAGCTGGTGGGGACATGCAGCGCACACAGTCAAATAGCAGCTTATCTGACTTGAACAATAGGTATGGATATAAAACGATGATTACATCGTGTGCTATTGGCATTGCTTGTTTGTTGTTTTAAAAGTTCTTTTTTATCTATTTTACAGTCCCCCACATGGCAGCCCAAAGCCAGCGACTCGCCATAAGAAGAAGCCTGTTGCTCCAGTACCACCAACTTTAGTGAACACCAATCATTCCACTGCTAACACTTCTACCGCCACTACCACTATTACTATTGCCAAAGCTGCTTTTTCAAACACTGGTAATGTTACTGTTTCGGTAACACCATCAGTGAAATCTGAGAAACCCGGCAAACCTCCTCCACCTGCTAATGCACCACCCATCACAAGACTTGTGGAGAAACCTGCTAAACCACCACCACCCGTGTTGCCTCAGGATAAAACTCTCTCTGGCTCAAACACAAAGGCTACTGCTGCTCAACAAGTCTCAGCACATCCTGCCAGTTGTTTGTCTTCTGATCCTGCACCGGTATATAACAGAACTATCCTCTTATCTTTTATTGTGACAAATATCAAATTTTATTATTAGATCCTTACATATCTCTGTTGTGCAGGTGGATACATCTGATCAGGAAACATTTAAAACCCCAGTTCATATTGGGTTTGAGCACTTTGCAGTAGATCCTTCCAATTCAACCTCTTTTCCTGCCAGTACTGTCTGTGATAATCCTTGTGGAAATGATGGTGAAGGAAAACAGTCTACTTCTATTGCCTGCTCTGCAACAACCCCAAATAATATTTATGGGACTTTAGAAAAGAAACGTCCTCAAAGACCAACACCTGTTGCTGCTCCCAGAACTACCTTGTTGCACAAGGGTGACAATCAGGGTAAGTATATCATATGTATGCGCGGTACCACTAATCTGATATGGTGTACAATTTTGTATATTTCATAGTAATATATTTTCTTTCAGGTAATGGCAATGGCCTAGCTCCTTTGGCAACAGCTGAAGACGAATTTGCAACTGTTGTACTTCGTCGAACTAATCTGGAGGGTGCTCTCTCTGATGCCGCTCACAAACCTGCTGTACCAGAAAGACCAGCTACATTACAGCGTCCCTTAAGTTCATCATTTCGCCTTACTAAACCCACTCAAGAAACCACCACTATTGTTAACATGTCAACTTCCCTTCAGGGCTGTGTGGAGTTTAGTAACCCTGGAAACCTTGGCCAGGTAAAGTAGAAACAGTTATCTTTCAAAATTTGTGGTATCTTTGCAGTATCTTTATTTTTAAGCTTGAATCATTGCATTTATTTTATCTTCTTTAGGAGGATATTGCTTCTGAAAAATCCCAACCCACTTCTTGTGAAAAGCAACAGGTGTCTGTTGTACATGTTGGAGGCAGATCAGAAAATGTTTCAGAACCTCAAGTATTACAAAGATCAGCTTCTCTCAGTGGGAGACCAAGTCAGCTAACAATACATACTGGTAAGTTCCACATTGATCAGAATGGATTGATTCAATTTATTGATTATTGCCATCTGGAATACTGTAATTGTAAATTTAAATTTTACCTTGCAGATAAACCTGAAAGGCCACCAAAACCAGACGTACCAGTAGCCGCTGATAGAATCTCAGTTAATTCTCAGCCCACTAGTCATGCAGCCAATCCAGAATCTGGTTTGTTAATACATGATGTTTGATTAAGAAATGCTATTTTGCTAGTTTAGGACAGATTTATTTTGCAGTATAGTTTTAACTTTTTTTGTTTTTAGCTTCCTAACTTATTAGTTCTTTTATTTTCCTGGTTTTTTATTATCTTGTTCTGCAAATATTGATAATGACCTTGCCTGCAAGTTAATGTTTAAAAAAAGTTCATTTCATTTTGCTTAAGTTTTTGCACTCCAATAATATTTTCAGCCTTTTAAGTGTTTTATGTAGATGGATGTTATTGACCTGTTTTTGTGTATTGTATTAGCATGAAAAACTAATCAAAGTTATATTCTAACTAAGTATGGCAACGCTTTCATGTGTCAGGGGAAAATCTGGTACCTTGCGGTGGTCATTATGGGTCATGGCCAAGATCGCCCAGGCCTCAGCCTCCCCCACCCCCACCTCCTGCTCGACCAAGAGTAGACAGCATGGCAGAAAGCACTGATCTTTGACTACAATATTTAGTTTGCTACACAAGCAGGGTAAGAGGGCATAGCTCTTTTTTGTGTCGCCCTCAGTGTGGAGGGTCTGGGTTCGAGTCCCAGATAAGACATGGCTGTTAATTAGGACACACATCCCCTCACTACTTTCTATTGCTTTGAGTTTCTTAAATCTTATTATTTTTGTGCTATCAGATTTAAGTTCACATTGACTGAAAATGTATTTTGACTGTGGTCTTCTAAATTTCAATTTATCATAAAAACTGTTCTTAATCTAAGTCTTTTTTTCTAGGTAAATTCAAAGGCATGACAGTGAAGACACAGCTGTAGTTGTTGTATTCAGTCATCAAGCTCAGCTAACCACCTGGGGATCTGTGTTGGTAGCAATCTGTCAGTTTTGCCTCTTATTTCTGATCTACTTTAAGTGCTTTTATTATTGGTGCTTGAAACAAACACACATAGTAGAGTTTCAGATAAACAGGTTAGGAACAGAAGAATTACTGTTATCACAAATCTTTAGTAAAAGACTGTTGGATTTCTCTTTTTGTGTTGAGTGGACCACACTTTCTTGAGTATCTCATGACATGCTCATGTCATCAGTTTATCTGATGAAAATGTTTTGTAAACTAGAGAACAACTGCATTTCTGTTAATATTTGCTTTAACAACCATTAAAAATGTGTAGGTAGTTTATGTAGTATGGTTGTAAAACAAACTGACATTTCTTTTCAAATTGTTATGAGCATTATACATGGCATTTTTATTAATACTCTATACTTTAACATAAGGTGCATGTTAGAGTACAAAAATATTGCATTTTGTTGAAAATACATTTTTCAAGATGGACTGAATGTAGCTTGTCATTCAAATCTAGTTTTGCCGTCCATCATTAGACTGGATTTTTAAAGTCATATCACAGTTTAAGTACGTACATATGGTCTGGCTGGATAAAGGATATTTCTCTTCCCTTATGTTCCATCAGGTATGGCAATTCACTTTTATAAGCTCAACCCCTGTAGTTGGTAACCATTAAATTACTATCTTTGCTGCATAGTAATTCATGCACTTTGTTAATCACTGCTGAACACACACACATATTAAATACTATAGTATAAAATGAAAGGAAAAAAGTTTTAATGTAGTGTTATTCTGTAAGTCAAATAAGTGCTTTTCCTGAGACTCAGAATAATTAGTGCTTCTGCATTTTGTTATTGTTATAAGCTGGTTGCTAATTTTCTGAGTATTCAGTATTTATTTTCAATGGTATTATGTGGGGTTGTCAACAATGTAAAGAAAACTTCTCATTTGAGCCAAGCATTGGAAAACCAGGGTTTCTGATATCTTTAATTCCTTATGTGAGCTTGTGGCTTTGATCAATGGCTTTAGTGTTACAGTATGTTATTCAATAGTCTTTCCTAGAAAGAGTTGATTTATTTTTGAAATGAAGACAATTTTTACCAAGTACAGTATAACAGTTTGGAACATATCTGTTGTGTAAATTGAATTTGTAGGGAGTGAAAGTGTTAAAAACTAAACATGTAAATACTTTTCTCAAATGTTATTGTTTCCAAGGTTTAAGCATGTGATTTTTTGTAATTAAATTTATATTCCAACATGTAAAACCTTGACATTGTGTGCATTGGTTCATATTGTAGGTGTACTGTCCAAAATAAGGATTTCAATTTCACATATAGAATACATTACAGTAAGTGGATGTTAGTACATAACTTAAAGCTCCTCTTCATGAAGTACTTAAAATTACCTGGATCAAGCTGTTTTAGGCTCTGTTTCACAGGTTTTTAAGTGACTTCCACAAAATATTTGAGTGCCTTGCTTTGTATTTTGTGAATCACTCTACTAACTCAACATGTTTAATTTGAATGTTCTTGTATGGAATTGAAATCCTTTGACAGATTTGAAAGACATTAATTGTGATTTAGCATTTGTTGAGATGATGTGTAATCAGTTTTGGTGTTACCATGGCTTCGCATATTGAATGTCCTGTACCTTCTACTTGAGTACTCTGTGATTTGTTGGAATTTAAAGTCCAATTGCTTGATTATCAGATAAGAGTTGTAACAAGAGCAAATCATTTGAAGCATTGAACCAATACTTCAGGCATCTTTGTCAGTCTTAATACGAAATCATATCTAGTCTTTGTTTTGAGTTACTGCAAGTTACATATTTACCAACTTAACTTTTGATAGTTGCATCTTTCAAGCTGTTGTTTTCTCCCATGGACAACCATCATATTGGACTTCAAAGGATGCATGAAGCACATCAATGGTTACACCTATCCTTTGTACGGTACCATGTTTGAATTTGATTTTGACTTTGTTTTGTCAGGATGATTTACAGCTGAGGTCAAGTAGTGGTTTCATCATAAAACTTGGTTGTTGTCTAATAAGCAGCTACCACCAAGCACAGTATTTAGGAAGCTCTATTGAAGTCTTAAATAGTCTACGGTTCCTAGTTAGGCAGTGCAAAGTGGTTTTTAATGAATGGCTGTGTGAAGAGCAAGCTAGGTCTAGGTGAAAATGGTGTTAAAACCTTGTCTTCCAAGTTTTGTTTGTAGTATGTAAGAACTTGAAGTAGTGCCTTTTATTCTTTAGTGCCCCACAAGCTACATACAGATCGTTTCCAGGTATTTTTTGAAAAGTTTCAAACTCAGCTCGTTACTTTTGATATTACCCACAATAATTACTTGTTCAATTGTTTATATCTCATTTCATATGTTTCTCTAGTTTTATTTCTTTTGACTTTATTGCACTGCTTTCTTTCCCTGTCTCTTTTCTTTTCCTCCCTATTTTTTGTTAGTTTGCAATGTATGACTTGCGCACATTTTTGTTGAATATTGACTAATTATAAACCAGTTTGTGCTGGGTTGTTAGGTACTACAGTGCTCCGTGATATCAACCAAGAATATTTTGACCAGTTGTTTTAACTCATATTAACGCTCACCTGGAAGTTTGGTATCTAATATTGTCAGAAAAACCTTTTCCATTTGTTTATTCTATTCTAAAGAGTAATTACCAAAGCTTCATTTACGTAAAGGGTGTAAAACTCTTCAATTGATTTACTGTAGTATTAAAAATAAAGAAATAATGTTCTTCTTTTGCATTTTATTTAGTTTATGTAAAGCATTGTATTGCTACTGAAACCTTGTTGTCATTGAACGTCAAATTATGTTGAAAACGGAGGCTAATCTCATTTTTATTATTTTGTTCCAGTATTTAATCACTGTAGGCACACTCAGTCAACAATCACTGGTTTGGCCAGTCAATGATGCTGATCAAAATTCATTATTGTATTGTAAAAAATTGAAGACTGAATTGATTTGTTCCTGTAAAAAACAGGACAGTAGTTTCACCTCTTTTTATGGATGGAAAAAAACAATGGTGGTGATTGTACCATTCCACTTTCTTAGTAATTTGGTTGGAATTTGCTTGTAAAACGACAAATTAATCACGTGTGCAGACATTCTGTAAGTGGTGTCTTGATTTTTTGTTTATATGTGCCTTCCAAATAAACTTCAAATAAGAATCTACCATGCATCCAGAGTGTGTAGGTATTTGCTTAAAAATATTCTTTGTTTGTCTGTTAGCAATTTTATTAATATTTTGTATTTGATGAATATAATAAACTGTTACTGTATATTTGTCTGTGATTGTGGGTTACCCTTAAAACACAGTCTTATCTAATATTTCTTCACAAGGAAAAGTAACAGTATCCGTAACCATAGGAAAGGTATCCATATCCATCCATATCCAGACGAGAGGACTGCTTGGCCAACCCAAGCAACACTTTTATGTTGACGCAGCTTATAGGAGAACAAAATTTTTCATATTGCTCAAAGTTACACTCGAAACTGAATGTAACATGACCACATCATGCCACCTTAAAGATTACAAATAGAGAGTTTCAGATTGGACCACTGATGTTACAAATAATAGGTAGTTATTTCTTATCTAAGTAGAGAATCAAGCTAAAAGATTGCATTCAAGAAAAAATAATTGAACTTCACATGGTGCAAGAGATCACAACTTCGTTGTTCTTTCAGGAATGCAGGTGCACACACTACACAAAGCACAGTCACTTATCTAAAGAGAATACTAACGTGGAACAAAAATATCAAATTTATAGCAATTCTGATATATTACTTTATGAGAAGATTGAGCAAGTTAATGTTGTACAAAACCCTCCATAAAAGAAAAAATTACTTATTTACCCGTTTTTTCTGTACCATCTCTTCAACAACTTCTGCCATCAAATAGGATGGCTTACACAACATAAATGCATGGTCCAAACTTTTCTGACACACTTGAGCTTGTACACCGGGAACAGCTTTGATAAGCTTCTCATAGTGGGAGACAGGAGCCCATCTATCATGGTCCCCATAATACAAAACAAGTTTTCCTTTCCTTTTATTAATAAGTTCCACATCTAGTTCTTTGATTACCTGCATTTCATCTAAAGCTAAAGAAAAAACACTTCGTAAAATCTTTGGATTAATGAGCTGTATAACAGCATGCTTAACTGTTATACTTGTGCCTGTTCCAAACAGCCTAAGATACAGGAAAAGAAGAGACATTTGAACAAATTTAGGCAATACAAAAAATATTCCTGCCAAGAAGTACACAAGCCAAAGTATATGAACCACTACTTTACTCAGGAAACGTCCATTTGGAGTGTCGGCAATGTGTTCCAAAACAGGGAAAAGGAGATACGATGCTTGAACTTGTTCAGCAAACTGAATAAAAACAGAACACATAGATCAATGCCATTACTAGTGAAATTTTTTAATTTAACTCAAGAACATGCAAGTACTTACATCATCATCCTTCAGGAGCTGTAGAGCCATATATGCTCCGACAGAATGTCCTAGAAGATGAATCTTACACCCTTTTGGTATGTATCGCTTAACAAATTCCTTTTTGTTTACGATCTGTCCCTCAACATCATATAGCTGCTGATTCTTATCAAGATTTGGAATCAACCTACAAATGAAATATAGGCATATTTTAATACACTTACTTGAATTTAATTAAATTAGTGAAGTTCTTTCACAGATTCAATTTTACATACCCGGACCCAGAAGGAAGCTCATGACCAGCATGTGATATGACCCAGACAGGCATCTTTAACCTGTCATGCAATTGCTGAAGAAATTCAGAGTAGAACATGGCAACTCCAGGGTTACCCGTGAACAAAAGTAGGACTTCTTTCTCCTTTGATAAGACATTAGGTTCATCAATCCAACCACCCCATGTCATAACATGTGTTGGAACATAGTTCAATGTAATAAATCCTTCTTTGAAATTTGACATGGTTCTAGGTATCCTGAAATGTAAGCGGAGGGTAATTAGCTCTCTTCCAACAAATATAGAGCGGACATTGGCAGAAGTGAGAAAAACTAGCCCCTACTTCCTAACTTGACAGTTGAGTTCCTGCCAGACTCACAGAACTGACAGCAGACAAATCAATGACTAGGCACAAAGAAGACAATCGAAAAGTAAAAAAAAAAAAACTAGTAGTGTCAAAAAAAAAATACTGAGCACACTTGCATACCCTACTTATCAAATTACTTTGAGGTAATGTAAATTGACAACACAATTAAGGAGTTATAGTTTTAAGAATGAAATTCGAAACTTACGTTCCAAAAGATAGAGAGAGAGTTCGTCTTATGAGGAGCAAATGAATGCAAGCAAGGTTGCACCTGCTACCTGTGGCCTGGATCTGAGTTGCGACATACATGCAGCCGACACACGTCGGCGCAATCTCCCAAACCTGTTTTTGTATCAAGTTTTTGTTTTGTTTATTTCGCTATTACTTTTCATATCGGACAAGGTACGCCTAAGTATGAAAAATATTTCGGAACGCTAACCAGGTTCCTGGAACACTGGAATAATGCTGTTAAATATATTCCGGCCTTTTCTTATCCTGATTAAGGTCAATCGTCATTGATTGGAGCGTGTGGTGCACGACTGGAGGGAGATCCATTAGGGTCCGCGCGGACGTTTCCCGAGGCGACGCTAACCGACGCTAACGGTAGCGCGTAGCGCCTGCCACGCGCTGGGTAGGCCAACCCGCCAAACAGCCGTGTGAAGACGGCGGCCCACCCAAGAGCGGGAGCGTCGGGCAAGTGAACGGTCGTCGAGCAGCTTTCCGTCGCGTCACTTCGACACCTCGGGGAACATTTTTTGTGGTGGCACCACGATGTAGGGAGCACTTATGCGACTGTCTGGCTGTGTTGTGGTGTGTGCACCCAAACACAGAGGTGCGAAGGCTTGCAAGAGTCTGGTGTCGTGTGGTAAATGATCTCAACTTACTCTTGGATGACGGCGCTTTGGTAAAGCGGTACAGCCTGCACAGCCACACCTTCTGCTCAAGGCAACACACAGCGGTGACTATCGCCGTACTCGATTGAGTCACCCGCTACGCCCCGCGGGCTCCGCGTGTACCGGCGGACAGTCGACGGTCGGTGGGGGGCGGCGGACGGGCAGCGGGCGCATGCGTTGAACAGGGCCGGGGTACAGCGGGAATGGGAGGGGGTCTTAGCGGTGGAGCAGACCCGGGGGATGGTTGGGGTCGTCCTGTTAGGGCGGCGGGGTTGGGAGGCATCGACTGGGGGGGTCGGTGGGGGGCGGGCCCCGGCGAGGGTGGAGACGACGGTGGAGGAGGGTGGCGGGGCGCTCGGGGGGATGGGGTAGCACGGCAGAGCAGCACGCTGTGTCTGCGGAGTGGAGCCTGGCCCAGGCCCACGCCTCGCCCGCTCAGTCCGTCGATAGCCGCGGCGTAGCGCGCACCGAGTGCGGCCCAGGCGCAGCCGAGGCGCAGCCCAGGCACAGCCCAGGCGCAGCCGAGGCGCAGCCCAGGCGAAGCCCAGGCACAGCCCAGGCACAGCCCAGGCCAGCCAGGTCCGCGTGTGCACTCAAGGGGTGGCCGAGGCATCCGCCGCGACCAGCGGGGACCACAGCATCCTCCCCGCCGACGTCGTCGTGGACCCCGCGCCACGCGCCGTCCTGCAGCCCAACGTGATCCCGCGCGGCCAGGCCACGAGGGCGCCCCCCATGAGGCCGCCCAGGGCGAGCGGGGCCGGGCGCGGGCCCCGGGACCGCCCCGGGACAGTGTAGCGACGGTGCAGGGCGCGCGTGAGCCATGAGATGTGTCCCGCCCCCGTCCCCTGGCCTGGTCCGGGGCGCGACACCTGGCCGTCGGCACCCGGCCGCCCCCGCCCCGCACGCCCGCTCCTGCTGCTGCTCCTGCTCGTGTGCCTCGGCTGCACGATGACACGGGCCGGGCCCGGCTCGCCGCTGCACCACGACGAGTACGACGAGGACGACGGGCCCTCCCCGGCCGAGGACCACGAGGACTATTCCGAAAATGGCAACCACACAGGTGAGCTAAGGGCATACGTATATTTTTCCCGCCAAATGCACAGACTATGCCTCTGCCTACTTCGATTTATGTAGGGATAACATCTGAAGTGGACTGCTGTTGACTCCTCTTCATCCGATTCACCCATGCTGAAGATGCTCTAATGGCAGGCCGAAAAGTGTCGACACAATGAGCGCTTCACGAGGCGACGCTGATGGTAGCGCCTGTGACGCTGGGAGTAGGCCAGCCCGCCAAGCAGCCGTGTGGAGACAGCGGCCCGCCCAGAGAGCCGCAGGGCGAGGGCGCCCGAGCCCGAGCGCCGGGGACCTCGCTGGAGTGGGCCCAAGCAACCGCCGCGTGCATAGCTAGGGGTGTCCCCAACACCGAATCAGTAGCAATGACCTCGAATGTCCTATTTATAAACAGCTTAGCACGATCCAAGACACAACTACAGAGATTCGCTTCGCGGTGCTCGCGGAATGACCGAGTACTTCCCCTTTCACCTGCCCGCGATTACCATCGACCTGGACTTCCCCCCGGCCGGCCCGCGGGCCTCGGCGGCCCCAGAACCCCATGGGGCCGAGGCCCAAGCCGGCCCAGCCCCTTTCCCTTTCGCATTACGCGCCTCGCTTCGTATCGCCTCGCCTCGCCGTCCAAGTGGCCCCAGCGGCCGGGCCGGATTTGATAAGACGTTTTGCCGCCAAAACAACCCTCTCCCCCCCCTGCCCCGGCCCAGGCCCAGCTCAGCCGCCTCCCTGTCAGATGGAGTATCCAGGCCCGCCCCCGCCCCCTCAGCGTGACGCCCCCCCGTGGCGCGGTGGCGGTGCCCCCCGGCCTGGAAGTGTTATATGGCCCCGACCCAAACACCGACCTGCTGGCCTGCAGAGGTGTCGGCACTGGAGGCGCTGCGGGGGGCGTGGCGTGGCGTGGCATGGCGTGGCGTGGGCGTGCTGAGGGTGTATTGACCGGGCCGGACGGGGGCCCTGCCCTGGGGACGGGTTGCCCCACCAGACAAGCCGGCTGGGCCCGTCCGGCCGGCCCAGGTCCACAACAACATCCAAAGGGAGGCGTGCGGGCGTGAGTGTGACATCCGATCACGCAAGTGGCTCGGAATGAAAAAAAAACACATCGAAAAACCAACAAAGTAATAGTTTTGTCAGAATTCTATACATTGCGTGCTTTTTTAAGGCGTGTCATTCACTTTTCGGCAAGGAATGGCACAAACTTATTGCGTTAGCCGACACCGCTCAAAAAGAGAGATATGAAATTTCGTCTGAAACATGCAGTCAGGTGCTCAACCTTCCAACTTTTGTATGTGTTCAACTGTCCGTTGAATACTTGCGAGTGTTTAACCAAGTGGTTCTGCTCTGCTTGCAAGTCTTCCAGTCCTCTCTTGAACAGCCCCTCCCACACTGTAGTGGGCTAACGCAGGGAAGTAGGGAAGTGTTCAACACAAGAGTTGAACACAACTACTGAGTTGAACACTTACTTGCAAGTGTTTGATGGTTGGACGTTTGGTTATCTGCACTCGATCTGCACCCAGAAAAATCGTTTCTTGTTCCGAGTAAATTTTTCCTTGTCTCAAGTGCACGCTGTCACAAGATCAAATTTACTCTTGAAACAATCTGTGATTTTCTTTCGAATAAGAGAAAAATCTTATTTCAAAGACTGTATTGCCTTGTTTCAATAGTGAATTTCATCTTGTGTCAGCTTTGCACTTGAATCAAGAAACTAGTTTTCTGGGTGTGTGTAATTTTTTTTCTTTTGGCAACGAGAACGAGATCTAAACCTAGGAGCCAAATTAATTGTTCTTGTACCTGAATTGGGCGAAAATGGCGCACGAAATAAAGGAAGGGGTGCACAACAAACGCGGTTGTCCATGACTCCCAGCCCTCCGCCTCCTCCTCCTACCTCACCACCCCAACGCCACGCGACGCCACCCTATCGTCGTTGCGTGCCGGGGTCGGGCCCTGGCCGAGCGAAACTGGACAGCGCGGGAGGGGAGAGGCACCCTCAAAGTAAAAGCCGCGCCGCTCCCACGCTGCTCCACGCCGTTCCACGCCGCTCCACGCCGCTCCACCCCGCTCCCACGCCGCTCCCACGCCGCTCCACGCCGCTCCACGCCGCTCCACGCCGCTCCACGCCGCTCCTCGCCGCTCCTCGCCGCTCCGTCTGGCAATAAAACTTGGTGGAGCGGGACGGGGCTCCAATAAATTAGATGATCAAATTAAAGTGGTCGCGACGAGAGGAGGGACTCTTGCCCCTCACTCCCCCCTCCCCAGTCACGTCCAAATGTTTGCGAGACCCTGGCCTGCTGCCTCCTAAAACGAAGGAAAGGACAGCGAACAGACGTAAAGGGGGGAAAGGGGGGGGGGATGACCCACGACCACACTGCTTAAACAAAAAAGGTCATGACGCACCACCACTGCTTTTGCCAGAGGGTCTGCTACGTGTGCTGACAGTGTACTTTGTTTTTTCCACGACCAAATATCCAATTTTATCATTTCCTCACCCAACTTCCCTTTTCACTGTCGTTTTGTGGTGCGGTCTCTCCCCCGCCTTTCGCCCATACGCGGCCCTGCCCCCCGCAGTCGGGGGAGGGGGGCGGGCCTTATAGGCTCTGGCTTAGCAGAAGACACGAGTGATTCATACCGGAAGCGATCCAGGTTGTCTAGAGAGGCCGCAGACTGCATTGAGTCGATACAACCCCCCCTCCTCTTCCTCTCGTATTCCCACTCCTTCCCCACCGTGCTAGGGGAGGAGGGAGAGGCGTGTACCCTGCAGCGGGGGAGGGGGAGAGGCGAGGCAGGGGAGTTAGGGGGTCCCCTCCTCGGCGCTATGGCCACTACGTAGTGGTCTATGGTATCGTAGCCGAGCGTAGCCCTAGCCCTGCAGCGGGACAGGCGAGGAGGGCCTCGGTGAGAACGGAGTAGAGGCCATAGCTGACAGCTTGCACAAGCCGTGTTCTCACGACCTCTGCGGAAAATCATGAACCAGGGAGAGGGAGGTATGGCTCACGCTCACGCAAGCTGCGTTCAAAAATTTCTGACTGGCACAACGTTTTTGATGACTGAACCCAAATAACATCGGCAAATATAACCATATACAAAAACTTGACGGTTTCGTTTCATTAGCCATAAAGCCCCCTTGTTGTAATTTAAAGATCCAATCACTAAAGGAAAATGGGGGGGGGGTAAGAAAGGGGCAATAGTAAGGAATACCTGTCCTGTCGCAGATTTGGGCTTGGGCTATGGTGCAATGCTTTTTGTCGAAGCGACAACAGACACATCATGTTGTACCTATTTTCCCTGAGGTCGTGGAATCCGCTTACGCCCCCTTCTTGACATGGGAATGTCGCACGGCTGTTCTCCCTCCTGTCTCTCTCCACGAAAATATTATCTGAGCGATGGCACAGAAAAGACGTTCGTACGGCTTCTGGGGCCCTCTTCAGTCCCGGTCGGACCGAAACGCCCAGCCGGGCGATGCCTTAGCTTATTAGGAGCAAGTCGGATAAATAAAGTCTACGAAAAAATATCTAAAGGGAGAAAAAATGTGGCGACATCCGGCGCCCGTACGTCTGCTGCGTTTGGTTTGAAAATGATCAAAAGATCTATCGCTTTGAATTGACTTCTTGCTCGCGTGCATACCGTTGTATTTCAACGCCGTGCATTTTTCTTTCCCCCCTCAGCCAACTACTGTTTGTTTTCTTGCACCCGCGGAGGAATGAAAAGGGGAGGGGAGGGAGGGGGGTAATAAGAGGGAAAAAATGAGAAAAACAGCGGCCAGATAGGAAGCTGTGAGAGCCACTCGGCGCCCCGGGCAGAGCGAGTGCAATAAAAGCAACGGCAGCGCTGCTGGGCTGCGGCACCGGGGGGGATTGAGAAGGGGGAAAGGGGGGGGGGGGGGGGGGTCCGATACAGTCGGTCGGCGGTGGTGCCGCCCTGCCACTAAAACAATTACCATGTAGAGTGAATCCGAATGGGGGACCGTGTCACTCCGCTTCATGACACATACTCCTCTCGACTCTCTTACAAAAATCACTGCATTTTTTCGACAACTTTTTCTTTTGATTTAGCTCCATACATTTATGCAGGAGACTTAGTGTGTACTTGACCAAGCACACACAATATTCTGTGTACTTGACCAAGTACACACAATATTCTGTGTACTTGACCAAGCACACACAATATTCTGTGTACTTGCCAAGTACACAGAATATTCTGCATACATGTTGGTATGCAGAATATTCTTCATTCAAGTACACGCTTGGGTTTCCAGAGTGTGATTTCTGTTTATACAGTGCAGTGCGCAGTCATCATTGTTTAAATGGCTGCAGTTGTTAGTAATATTATAATAAAGCCAAATGTGCACAGCGGACTTATGAGGCGCAAGTCGAATCAAAATCATCACAAGTAAATGAAATGCAGGCAGTTACACGCGTATAGTCATTTGAGGGGCAGGGAGGTGGCGAAGCACGGTAAAGTGACTCTTTGGTTTCCAAGCAGAAGTGCTTGGTTTCCAAGCAAAAGTGCTTGGTTCCCAAGCACATTTTGCTTAGAAATGACCAGATTTGCTTGGAAACCAAGCAGTCACTTTTACCGCGAGGCGAGGAGACGGCCGTGTGCGGCGCGTTGCGTTGCGATTGGCGCGGAACGTTCGGAGGCTCCCTCTTAGAGGGCGTGGGCGCCTCCTCGGGTCGGCGGCATGGAGCTGCAGCACGCTTTCCTCCGGGGCACCCAACCGGCCCCACCTGCCGACACCGCGGCCTGGGATTACGGCGATGATAAACATGGGAAATAATAGTAGCTGTTTTGGAGAGGGGGGGTGTAGTGACTCCCCCGCCCCCTCTCGGCGCCACCCTGCTGCGAAGCAGGGATGAGAATGCGATCCCTATTGATCGTCGGCCACGCTACTGGCGCGAGGGGGGCGGAGGGTGGCGGGGGTCCTGGAGGTGTATACGGACAAGCGCTTTGCCTTGCGCCTCTGCCCTGTCCTGGTTTCTCCTTTCCTTCTCTCTCTCTCTCTCTCTCCCTCTCAGTCTCTCTCACTCTCTCTCGCTCTTTCTCTCACTCTCCTGATGCGGATGCGAGTCCCTTGATGCCCCGCCGCAGCCGCCTGCGGACCTGCGGGTAGGCCGACCCGCACGACACCCGCGCGCACAGCCTCCTCTCTTGCCTACCCGCCAGGCGCTCACCGTTGCCGCCGCGCCGCAGCCCTGTGGACGACACGGACGGCAATGGCAAATGTAACCTGAGGACAAATTTGTTTTGTTTTGTTTTTGTTTATTCGTTTTGTTGTAAATGTACAGAAATCATTGTCAGGTTATTTGTACAAAATGTTATAGGTTCGACATTATTTTTACAGCTAACACATGAATTTATTCACTGGGTGAAGACCCACGACCACTACACAGGGAGCGGGGGGGAGCGACAAAGGGGCCTCACCACCACCGGCAGCCGCGGTAGAACGCTCGCCACTCCACTCGTGTTTGCACGGTAGAGCTTTGCTAAACCCAGGGCTGCTCCTTCCGCTCGTTTGCCGCAGTCTAGTCGAGACGGCTCGTTGGCCGAAGCCAAAAATATAACCATATACAAAAACTTGACGGTTTCG